TGCATGTATGTATGTATGTAATGTATGTATGTATGTATGTATGTATGTATGTATGTATGTATGTACATATATATATATATGTATGTGTGTACATACAAAGCTGTGTCTACATACATATGTATGTGTACTTATGCATGTGTGTATATACCTATCTATCTATCCATCTATCTATCTATATAGGTTCTCGGTTCACCGATCCCCTTCCCCCGGGCTCAGGGGAATCCCCGCCCCAGCAACCGCCGTGTTTCGGCGAATGGTCACTCACTGCCACGCCCAAGCTCATACCCCGCCCAACCCCACGGACCCCTGCGCGGCGGGGTTAAGAAAGTCCACCAACCATCGAGGAGGGGGCGAGGCGGGAGGGCGGATCGTGTGTATTCTTTGACATGCCCGTTACCTTCCCACCTTGGGCTTCCGGACTTCCGGCTCTTAGAGAGAAGAGATGCCTTGCATTCCTTAGCTTATTTGGCCTTCGATCTTGAGTTCGCGAGCAGAGCAAAGGACCCGAGAACCCTAACCCCTAGACCGGACACCCTGAACCCCGAAGCCTCAAATAGCACCTAAAGGCCCTGAGCGCAAAGCCCTCTTAGTGAGGAATGCTCTTCAAGTCGTAGTAGGACATGCGCATGGTTCAAAGTATAGTACTCCAGTAATGGAATGGGCCCGTCTAAACTGTCTAAACCCTACGAAGCCCTTAAACAAAGCCGTAAAATTCTGTAGTATAAGGTATAATTACTTGTTAAGAGGTAGACGTGGCTTGAACAGGAGAACATGGTGAGCGGAGGCACTCGCGAGATCCGACCGCCGCATCGCATCGCGGCGGCCGTGTTATGAAGGTAGGTGTCGACTCCTGGAACCGCAACGACCCATAAGTAGTAGCTTATACTGGGTTATGGGTTTCATAAGACATACGTATAGAGTTTCGGGAACAGTAGCCTGTCTACACGCAACTGGCGTTTTCAGGTCGAATCAAGCACACAGAAGGTTCCCTGTCAGTCCCATATAATTACCATATACATTTTGGTTTATAAGTCATATATTAATTATCCCCCCGACTGCCTTATTTGTCACAGTATTCCTTGGGCCCAAGCAGAGCTTCAGGCCAACGAACCATGGAGTTGACTCCAACGGTTTGGCGCCCCGAAGTTTTAACGAATGTTTAGGGTTCAGGGGCTCCTTTGAAGACTTCATTTAAGGGTTTAGGGTTTAAAGTTCCTCTAAAGAGTTCCTTTTGAGAGCGCTACAAGGCTTCTATAAAAAAGGTTTTTGGAGGTTCGCACGCAGGTTCTAAGGCGGTGGCTGTAGGCGTTTTTCAGAGGTTCTAGCTAAAGGATTTTGCAGGGACTTGAAAAGAGAAGTTTTAAGTGGGTTTTGTGGGGTTCTAAGGTTCAGGGATTTGGGATACCAGGCTCAAGGATTTAGGCTTTTAGCATCCAGCGATCCAAGGTTTTCGCTGTGCTTTGGGTTTCGCTTCACATCCTGAGCCCTCCTAAGTGCAAAGCCGGGAATGCAATAGCTTGAGACTTGTCTCATGCACAACGTCCTCAGAGGAGTGTGCGTGAACGAGTTCTCTTTGGCAGTTTCCTTGTCAGGCTTAGACCACATATTCAGCGCTCATGACCATCTAAGAGCATCTTCGAGGCTTGCTTATCTTCAATCGGTCAAGACCGCCACAAACCCTGCACATTGCCCCATGCCAGCTCTATGTCAATGTAGACGACTGGTTCTGACATGCTGTTTTGGGAGTGTATGAACACACACACACACACACGCACACACATGCATGACATGCACACCATGTGTATGTACAGCTGTTTTTCCTGGATTACATTCTTAGCCATAAACCCTACACCGTGCCTACACCATACTGGTAGCCACCAGAGAACTTAGCCACTCGGCAGCCGCAGTTGTCGAGGTATGAAAGCGCCGGGCACTTCAGCGGCATTTCGATAGGATCCAACGCGGGCTCGGAGTTGCAATCGATGTTACTATAGGGTTTCCATAAAGGCTGGTATATACCATAGTATGAACTGAGCTACTCTACGGTTACTGTAAGTAAGGGGTTGGGGGTTGGGGTTGATGAACGGTAAAGGTGTAGCGGCTTGCTATAGAATCCTGCCTAATAATCACTAGTAATCCTCTACATGAGAGTTTCTTATTATAAATATAGCTCTAATTAAGTATAAAGGCTTGTTGTGCCTCAGATTATCAGATTAGCAGTGGAGCTGACATTGGCCCACGGGTTGAGATGGGTGGGGTTGAGTCTTCCGAATGTTGGGAGTTCAGAGTTTTGGGTTGGGCTCCCAGAACTCTCGCAACCTCACTGCCCGCAGCCTGCTGAAAGCTGTTCAGCCACTGCATCGTGGAAGACGGTCTGAATCAACGTAACCAGAGCCATGGCCCTAGCTCAACTTGCGTACCGCTGTACCTTCATTGACATGATGGATGCCAAGACGGAGAGTGCAGATCGTCGTACTCGGGCCCGTAGCCTCTCGCCGACCCGGACATCGGCCAGCCCGGAGCCTCTTATGCAAGACGTCTGGGCGCATCGTCATCTTCGCACTCTCCGGCAAGGGCGGAGCGCAACGATCGCCGATGCGCCGGTCCCAAGTCGGGGCAGCGTGGGACACCCGGCCTTGTGCAACAAACCATGCGTTTGCGTTGCAAGGCAGGGGCACTGCCAGAAAGGTTGGGCCTGCGGCTTTTGCCGCTGTGAGCACGAAGACCCGAAGCCCGACAAGAAGCAGCGCCTGTTGATGAGCACGATGCCCAGGCCAGAGCTACTTAGCCTTCTCGCAGATCTACTTCGGGAGCGTGCTGAGCAAGATGGACTCCATGATGTGAGCTTCGTGTTGGCAGCCCCTCGGTCCATTTAACGTAGGTAGGCGTCATCATATGAGCGTCGCTTGATCGGCCTCAACTCCTTGACTTGATCCAGACCATATGCCTAAAATGCCCAACTCAAAATCCTAGCCCCGTATGACCTTTGATACCCAAGGTCCACCAAACCGGAACCCTACAAGCCCGCGAGACGAGGTTCTTTCCGTCCATTCAGGACTTCCAGGTCCTTTGCAGACGAAGTCTCGCAAGCTTCACAACCTGCGACAGGTGCCGAGCCGGACATGGGCTTGCGCTATATAGAATTAGGGTTTTAGGGTTTAGGGTTTTAGGGTTTTAGGGTTTAGGGTTTATTTCAGCACTGCATTTTTCGAGAGATATGAGACAGGGCTTTAGATACCGGGGCGAAGGGCCTGGAGCTGGTCGGGGGTCACGGTGTTGGAGACAGCTCAAAGGTTCTAGATTTGGGAGTTTCCGAAAATTAGGGGTGCCCTATTTTGGGGTCCTTATAATAAGGATCCTACTATTTAGGGTACTATATTAGGGCCCCCTATTTTCGGAAACCCCCATTTCGGGCACCAGGTACTTCAGCGCATGAACTTCTCCGGCATCCTTTCCATGGCTGCGCAGAAGTGTGAAGGCCGCAGCAAGGCCGTCGTGCTCCAGGAGTTGAGCGCTTTGCGCCAGAGTACCAGGCGACAGGTGACCTAATTTATGCAAGTCAGCGTCGCAGCTATCCACGCTGTGCCTTTCGGCTGCTACCATCGGTCTATAAGTGATGTAAAGCCACGTACAGCATTATACAGATACACCTGGACGTAGATATCCATAAAAAACATCTTGTAGAGGTTCGGTAGATGGATGCGTTCGTTATTCCGGCTTCTCATAATAATAGTCTTCAATTGAGACCATGGGACGAGGACGACGCTTGGGAGCAGATAGACTGCCTCTTAAACTAAATCCTAAATTAATATACATGTGTATATATATATACATATACAAGGGTTTGCAGAAGACGTTTCTTGTTTTCTGAAACTCCCGTCCGCATCCTGCTTGAAGCGTGGGATTCCGAAATGAAATCCCTCGCACAGTGGCCCTAGCAGGCCATTCATCTCCCTGGTGCTTTGTAGGGAATCGGGGAATGGATTCCTGATCTATAAGGTCCCCCTAAGCCCTAAACCCCCCATACCAGCAACCCGTTCCCTCATTCCTACGAAGAACAAGGGCGTCATCCGGTCACAGATGTGCTCTCGTCGAACTAGCGCTGGTCTGGATGTGATTTGTTTTTCCGTTTAGGGGGTACCTGATTCTGAGGTCCTTGCAACAAGAGTCTTAATGATTTAGGATCTGTTCGGGTCGCCATTTTTCTCAAGATGGCCACATTACATGACACAGAAGATGTCCGTGTCAGCCCAATGTGAGAGCCATTTCGGGACTCCATGCGTCTGCTAGGCTATGCTAGCTGCTAGCAGTGCTGGATGCTCCCTTCAGTGATCTTTGCTAGGAGTGTTTTCGAAGCCGCGAGTCGGCGGCTACTGTTGTATCCGCAGGGGCGCTGCAGCAGGGCTCAACCCATAGGCCCCTTGGTAGTTCCTTTTTGGGATTACCTTATAGGATTCTATATATAATCCCCAAAAAGGAACTACTTAGGGGCCCATGGGAACAGAATACAGCTTCGACAAGCAGTCCAGTCTGCCCTACTCTGGAGCAGCCCTCCTTCAACAGAGCCTCCGACCGGGCTACGTTTCACAATCTCGACCTAGACCCCCCTAAACCCTAAACCCTAAACCGTCTTACTTGCTCGCACACTCGGAGGCTAGGAGCCTTCGAGGCAGTCGGGCAAGAAGCTTCCCGACGAGGAAGGAAATCCCGGCGCTGTTGTGCATAGATCCTGCTGCTGAGTGTCTTAAGGTCTTAAGGTCTCTGACATCTTCGAAAGTGGCCTGCAAGTGTCTGTGTTTGGAGATGTCCTCTTCTCGGAAAGCACCCCCATCCAAAGTCTGAAGTCCGCTGCTTGAAAGCAGGTTCAGCCTGACGGGTTTCTAGCCTTTCGGGTGTAGGCTGTGGTCGGGCTTCGCAATTCGGCGCATAGGTGTTTCAGGATCCAAGCTTTAGAGAGTTAGTCCGCGTGCCACCTGTCTCTGTACAAAAGGGGTTTGGATTTCTTCAGTTGTTGCAAGGAAGCCAAAGGATCAAACCTTTGTCACCTGGAGCACTTGTATTGAACCCGTCAAAGCACCCAAATAAAAGGACATATAACCCACTTACAACTACCCATGAGCCGTCAAGCATAATACCCTGATAGAACTGTTATAAAAACCCTTATAGAACCTTCATATAGGGTTCCAAGTCAACCCTAAACCCTAAACCCTAAACTCCAAACCCTAAACCCTAAACCCTAAACCCAACCCTTCAATAAGACTTGACCACAAGGTGCTCCCATCCGCGATGCCGACGACAAGCCCCTCGAGCCCGGCCCCACCATTTGCATCAAGGTCGGGTTGTATTAGAGGGGTTTAGGGGTTTAGGTTTGAGGGTTTGGGGTTTGAGGGTTTAGGGTTTTGGGTTTGGGGGTTTTGGGGTTTAGGGTTTATAGGGTTTAGGGGTTTAGGGTTTAGGGGCTATTTTGGGGTTCCTTGTTATAGCTCAAGGGTAGTTCAGGGTTTTGGGGGGGGGTTTGGGGATCTATGCGGGTGACTGTTTCCTTGGGACTGGATTAATAAAATCATTCACTGCTGTTTTGGGGTTTCGCGTCTTTTGGGTCGACTGTTCAGGGGTTTTGGAGTTTTGGGTTTTAGGGTTTCACATCCTCAAGTTCGAAGCCCCTCAAACCTGTTCAAGAGACTGCTTGGCTTTGAGGTTCGAGAGCTTAGGTCGGGTTTCGGCGGTCAGGGCTTCGAGTCCTGGTTTGAAGTTTAGGGTTTAGGGTTCCGGGCCCTTTGCTCAGATTCTCATGCCCTTGTCACAGGTGCCTGAGGGCGCTGCTGGCTCAGTCATCCAGGTGCCCCACCCGAAGGTAAAAGGCATCTCGGACATCTGATGGCAAGTCGAAGGATTCTTTGAAGGTCTCTGTCGGAGAACAGGGTTTTGGGGAGTTTTGGGGATATGTTGTGGTATACTTATGCTGACTGTCAGGGGATGTGCTGCCAGCAGCTACTCAGACCCCAGCCTCAAACGCAGGAGCCGCTAAGTCATGGTTTAGGGGCCATTTAGGGGTGCTTAGGGGCGGTTAGGGCTTTAGGCTTTACGGCTTTAGGGTTCATAGGGTTTAGGCGTTTAGGGTTTTGGTGTGGCATTTGTTGGCCTGGGTTCTCAGTCTTCGGGGGGAGGATCCGCAGTGCCAAAAAAGTTGGGCTTATCCCAGAAAGCCCAACACACCTTCATTCCGGGGTAATTATGTGATGGTAGACTGGGGACTATAAGGGAGCACCATGACTAGTCATTTCGACCCCTATCTTAGCTTGGGGTTTCGGGAATATGCCGTTCAATCATCGAAAAGGGACCGTAAACTTCCACGATGGGAGGAACTTCGACGACCCTCGCTTCTGAAGGGGTCCGTAGTAGAGCTTCGGAGTAGTCCTTGCTGAAAGGACTTAGTCTTGGAGTCTTGCAATTGGAGACCATTTTTCATGGCCCAGGCCCCGATATTCTCTAGCGGTTTTCTGTTGGATAGCTGTACATCTCTGCTGCTCTTTCATGGCTCGCTTGTGGCTTTCGGCGTGCAAGGCGTTCTGAAGTCGAAGCTGCAGGTGAAATCAGGGATCATAGGCTCCCGCTATGTTTTGTAGAAGGGGGTTTCCTTCTTTCGGGGTCCCTGTGATGGATCCCAGTTCTTTAGGCATCGATATCCAGGATCCTAGTGTTAAGGGTGGTTTGTGAGCTCCCCCGACTTTCCGAAACTCGGACTTCTAGGCATTTTGCAACATTTGGGTTGAAACTTAGGTAAGGAGCTGGCGAGTTTATGGTTTGGTGATAGGGCGGATGGACAAGATCCTGCCTTAGGTAGCCCCATGTCGGACGCACTGAGTTCTGTAAAGATTTTTGTTCTATAAGATTGAATTTGAAGGGTTCGGGATTTGGCAAGGGCACGCAAGGAAGCAGGGATTTGGGCGTAGAGTTTAGGGTGTGCTGTAGACCTTACAGCCTCCGGGCTCTTGAGCTGCATCTCTTTTCCCAGCCTATTGGATAAGGAAACCCATAGCATGGCAGCCCTTGCGCCGGACTCCCGAAACCCCGACACTCCTAAAAAGCCCTAAACCCCGAAACCCCTAAACCACTAAAACCCGAAACCCTAAACCCCTACACCCCGAAACCCCGAAACCCCTAGACTCTAGACCCCGAAGCCCTTAAACCCCGAAACCCCTAAACCACTAAAACCCGAAACCCTAAACCCCTACACCCCGAAACCCCTAGACTCTAGACCCCGAAGCCCTCAACCCTAAACCCTAAACCCTCCTAAAGACACCGAGGCCAGTTCTTCGAGGTGAGGGTGCCGGAGGGCGCACGCGCCGGTCAGCCCATGCTGGTGCCAGTGCCAGCCGCCGCAGGTCCGGCCATTGAGGGGGGGTTTGGGGGTTGAGGGGTTTAGGGGTTTTGGGGTTTGGGGGTTTGAGGGTTTAGGGGTTTTGGGGTTTGGGGGTTTGAGGGTTTTGGGGTTTTGGGGTTTGGGGTTTAGGGTTTTGGGGTTTAGGGGTTTCGGGTTTGGGGTTTGGGGTTTGGGGGCTTAGGGGCTTACGGGTTTAGGGTTTAGTTCGGCAGGGTGGAAGGTTGACGGTTTTAATGTAATGTAGTGTATCCCGAACCCCCCAGGTACCTACCATATAGGGTACTAGAGCATACGAGAGCCCCTAGGGCCCTATATATATATATATAGTAGGTACCTGGGAGGTTAGGGTATAGTCAGGTATGAACTAACGACAATGTAAGGTTGTTAAACAATGACTTGGAAAGGTAAGATCAGATAGGATGAGATAAGATCAGAAAAGGCAAGATAAAACTAAGCTAAGATAAAGTTGTATGCGGTATGACATGATACTTTATGACATGTTGTAACATGTTTTGGTATGACACGACATGATATCTATATCTATATCTATCTATCTATATATATATATGCGTATATAGATATATATGACTGATGGCAGTTACGGATTGTAAGCTGAAGGCTTGGTGAGACTTTGCTCCTTTGGTCCTCTATGCAGGGGTAGTGGAGCGCTCGGCTCTGCGACTCTGGGGTATGTGCAAAAGTGTCAAAGTCCGGAAACTACTGTTCTTTTTAGGGTTTAGGGTTCTAGGGTTTAGGGTTATAGGGTTTCAGGTTTAGGGTTATAGGGTTTAGGGTTTAGGGTTTAGAGTTTAGGTCTCCCTTTGCTGAGCTTCTGCTAGCCTCAAAATGTGCCAGAGCATGCGTCAAGTGAAGGGAAGATCTGCATCTCGCTTGGCGTCTCCGGTATTCCATTACCCTGGAATGACTGATCATGTTTTGCGGCTTATTGTTCTTAGACTTTCGGCGGCTCTTGCGACCCCCTCCGGCCTCCAACAAAGAAAACGAGACACTTTGAGCAGCTTCCAGGCAGAATCGGTGATGAATTTGGGACCTATCCCTAACCTCCCAGGTACCTACTATATAGGGCCCTAGGGGCTCTAGTATGCTCTAGTACCCTATATGGTAGGTAC